TCTAAAATAACTGTTTTATTTAAATTTTTTCTAATTATTTCTTTATATACATTATTTTATATAAACTACAATCTTTAATATTTGTAGATGACATTTTTTAATAGTTTTAAATTAATAAATGTTATAAAGTTTTATTAATTGTGTAAAAATTTTAGTAAAATTTATTTGCATTAAATTTATAGTTCTAAATAAGTCAATTCAACTTTTGAGTCAAATGAGTTGAGTCAAGTTAAATCAAAAAAATTTGACTCGAGTTAAATTTCAAGTTAAGCTTGACTTAATTTAAGATAACTTAAGCTAAATTTTAGCCAAAAGTTGAATAAAACTCAAGCACAAAGTCAAGCCTTAAGTCAAACAAAACTTGAGCCTAAAGCCAAGTGACTCAATAAAAATTTAACAATTTTTTTTAAAGGAAATGTAAAAAAAATCATTTAGATTAAAGATGAGAACTGTAATTAATATGTTGCAACTTTTAATGTTGCAACTTACGTTGCAATTAGTTTTAACCTATATATGTTGCAACTTATAATGTTGCAACATATGTTGCAACTACTTTTAGCTTATGTTGCAACATTTTGTAAATTTGAAATCAATTGCTGTACCATCTTTAATTTAGATAGAATGATATATATAGTTCTAAAGAACAATAGAAGTTTCATTTTGGTAAATCAGTTTGATAGAACTATAGTATATTGTTCTTAAGCAATGATAAAAAAATCATTTTAATAAAATGAAAATTTATCATTCTAAAGGAATGATAGAAAAAATCATTCTAATAAAATAATAATATATTATTCTAAAGGAATAATAGAAAGAATCATTCTAATAGAACAATAATGTATCATTCTAATAGAATAATAAAAAAAATCATTCTAAAAAAACAATTAAATTATCATTCTGAAAGAATGATTTATTATGGAATGATTTTATTATCTTTCAAAGAATGATTATTCATTTATCGTTTTATTAGAATAATTCTTCTATCTTTCCTTTAGAATGATATTTTATTATTTTATTAAAATGTTCTTTCTATAATTCTGATAAAATGATATTTTATCATTCTATTGAAATGATTTTATTTATCATTTCTTTAGAATAATATTTTATTATTCTATCGAAATGATTTTTCTATCATTTCTTTAGAATGATATTTAATCATTCTATTAAAATAATATTATTTACCATTCTTTTAGAATGATGTTTTATTATTCTATCAGAATGATTTTATTTATCATTCATTTAGAATAATGCATTATCATTCTAAAGGAATTATTCTTTTTATTATTTTGATAAAATGATTTTTATCATTCTATTGGAATAATGTTATTTATCATTCATTTAGAATGATTTTTTTATTATTCTATCAGAATATTTCTTTTATCATTCCTTTAAAATAATGTATTATCATTTTATTAGAATGATATTATTTATCAATCCTTTAAAATATTATATTATTATTCTATCAGAATGATATTATTTATTATTTTTTTTAGAATAATATATTATTGTTTTTTAGAATAATTCATTATTATTCTATTAGAATGATTTTATTATCATTCCTTTAGAATGATCTTTTATCATTTAATCAGAATAAATTGTCTAAATTATCTAACTTATCTTTATTTATTAAATATAATTTGAGTCAAGTTGAGTTAAGGTTTAAAAACTTTTTAATTTGACTTGACTTGATTTTTTCGAATTAAGTTGAGTTTGACAAAAACTTGCTTAATATAACTCATTCAGAATTCTAAATAAATTAGTCTTTTTATATTTAAATTTTATTTAAATTAATTAATATATTATATATTAGTTTAGGATATTATAATTATTACTCTTTATACTATTAGAAATAGTAAATTAAATAGTTAGTATAGTTTGTATAATTATTTGTGATTTTTAATCCTTTTAATCCTTTTAACTTAAATAAGTAATATTTATATTTATATATAAATTATTCAAAAGTTAATTTAAAGCTAACTTTTGTATTACTTAAAAATTCATTGTAAAACTTTTATTTTATATTCCAAATAATCTAAAATATTAAATAAAATGGTTAGCATAGTTTATAAAACCATTTGTAACTTTGCTCAAATTTTTTAAAATTTAAAATATTTTATTTATAATATAATCTACATAATTAAATATTTTAGTTCAAGGTTAACTTTTGTGTTGTTTAAAATTTTATTGTGAAACTTTTATATTATATTTTACATATCTTAAAATATTAAATAAAATAGTTGTCATGGTTTATATAAGCATATATAGCTTTGCCCAAAACTTTATACATAAATAATTAATTTTAATAAATAATATATAATTTATATATAATTATTCAAAAAGTTGATACAAAGCTAACATTTGTGTTATTTAAAATTATATTGTGAGATTTTAATATTATATTCTATATAACCTAAAATATTAAATAAAATAATCAGTCAGTATAATTATCACTTGACATAAAGCCTTCTGGGATCACTATCATATGATTCTCCTAATAATATATACATAACGGATCACTTGATACAGAGCTTTTTGGAAGCATTATCAAATGACTCTCCTAATAATATATGTATTTTCTCGCAACACCCATTTTAGAAAAAAGATGCAGTAAATTAACAATAATATTGGCCAACACTATTCCATAATTTCAGCCGGAATTTTGGGCATAATAACTCAGCAACTAAGCTGACATATAAGTGGACTGAAACTGGCGAATAAATGGAACCTCTCTAGCTTCCTGCCAGTTTGCTTCCAGTTCCTCAACAGCTCCACAGTAGTTCCAGGATACTATCAAGTCACCATCATGACGCCAAGCTGGATCCTCAAATCATATACTCTAAAGATCAGCTAGAATTATGCCATAATGTCAGCCAAAATTAATCGCAAATCCACTATACTACCTGACACAATTTTTTTTACCACAATTTGGTATTTTAAGAGGCAATCAAATAGGTGCAAAAAAAAAGCATTCTCGATAACTTAACAGGTCACCAAATAGGCCCAGAAGCAGAAAAACAAGCGAATAGCTCTTTAGAAACAAAAAGAGCGCAAAATATTGTAAACACATAAATAGTTCTTTAATAATAAAAAGAGGACAGAGTAATAAAATCAAGCGGATAGCTACAAGGTAACAAAAAAATCACAGAACAATGAAATCAAGTGAATAGCTACAATGGAATAAAAAGATCACAGAGAATCGAAAACACAAAAACAGGTAGCATTATAGCAAAGGTAGGTAACAGTATAACGATAAGTAGGTAGCAGTATAACGATAAGTAGATAGCATCATAACGCAAGTAAGTAGCAGTCTTATAAGACTGCTACCTACTATAGATAATAATAGGAATATCCCTATTGATGATTTAGGAATAACCCGATTGAGAACTGAATGTTAATAAATTGTTATCAATAAGAATAATTCTATTGATATCTTTATAACATCCTGATTGGAATCTTATTGTATCCTATCTGCGTCATTATTCGTCATCAATCAGGATTACCTGATTCTAAAAAAACAAAAAAATAGGGGACCAATCAGATCAAATCTAGCAACCCAGATTTGACCTGATTGGTCCCCTATTTATCATCATTCGACTAGTGCTTTTCTTTTATAAATGCAGTTAAATCATCATATGGAATCCACCTATGTGATTTAAATTTTTTACATGCATATTCAGCTAACTTTTCTGTTAATCCCTCATGATGTATCTTCACAATTTTTGGATATACTTTCTAATTGTAATAATATTCACTGAATCAAGTGCTTGCAGAACAGTTTCTTGCAAGCCATTCTATGTGTAATCACAATGATCCCTTGCATAATGCTTGGCTGCACTCCAATACATTTCAATGAAATTAATTTCATAATGGAACTTCGGATATAAAATACATAAATGACCTGCATTCTTAATCAATTCTACAATGGCTGATCTTTGTATTACAAAATCTGGTTGAGATGCATAATCTTCCTTGCACAACAATTAACTCTCAGAGATTCTTTTTTCTTGCACATTGAATACTCTAAGTTTAATCCTTCCTTTCATAAACCTCTTTCTTATAATATCCTTTTTATCCCTTTTGTTTTCCTCGCAAGGTAGGATCAAAATACTCCTCTGAAAACACCATTTGTTGGGTTATTTCTTATGCATCTTTGTCAATAAAAGATGTTAATCTCATAATTGGTTGTTTTTCCTCACGACCCAGATTCATCTTTGTTACAACAAGAGCATTTTTGGCATATGCTATATGGTTAGTACTATTATCAAAAGGTAAAATGGCCATTGCATTAGAAAATTTCGCTTTAAAAATAGGAATTGCTTTGGATTTAATCTGTTCTAACAAATGATCAAAAATTCAGTAACCTTCCTGGTTCTTACCAGGTAAAATATAATAATGAGCTTCTGTAGGAATATCTGGGGTTTTTTTTGATCTCTTCTTCACTAAGTTTCGATCGATCATAAGCCTCTGAAAGAAATTCGCTCACCATAATCGATCTTTAATTTCCTTTCTTTCGCAATGACATTTTACCATCATCTACCCAAATTCTTTTTTTCCATCATTTGCATAGAAGATACTCTCGTCATGAGTAATAAGAATCAACTCTTGTTCATCTGGTCTGAGTACTAGTGAAATTACTTCTATTTCCTCTCCTTCATATCTAGCCATTCATTGTTCCAATTCTTTCATTATTTTTAAAAATTCTTTCCAATATGTAACAACATCCTTTTGTTCATATCCATCAAAATAGACACTCTTCTGATATCCTTCAAACTGGTATCCTAAGATATGTAACCATCTTTTAGTGGTTCTTATGCTAATAGTTTTCTGGGTTCCTATATGTTTAGGCAAAATAAAATCCTTAATATACTGCTTAAAATGAACCATATCAATACCATTTAAATCTGATTCTTGTTGTAACCATTATCATAAGCTTAATGCAATATTTTTATTATCAATATGTCGATAGTATTTTTAGTGCTTTCCACAAGACGAAACTGGAAATGATTGGTGATTTAAGTAAAATTTGGCTATAGAACGAATTCATTTAGCGATATATGGTTTTGAAATAATATAAACCATTTGCGCCACTTCTTCACTAGCTTTAATTTTCTCATTATCATTATTTACCTATATAAGATATTCATAAACAGCATACTATCTGTTATATTCGAAGGCCATTAGCATTTTTCCATTCTTAATAAGATCATCTCGAAGTTGTGCAATTCTTTCATAAAGCATTAAATTTTCATCTGTTTTTGACAAAAATCCAGGTAGTGTAAGTGACACCAATGATGAAAAAGATGGTAATAGAGACAAAAAAGATGATAATAGGGACAAAAAAGAAGATGGTAATAGAAAAGGAGATGATGATGATAATGGTGATGGTGATGGAACAGAAGAACTTCCAGTAAATTTACTGATACAACTATTTGGTGCTGAAAATTTGGACAACACAAAAGAACCACCAGCGCTACACAAAAAACTAGTAATTTTAGGTGTTCTCTTGGAAGCTTTGAAAAGTACACTGGAAGTACCAAACTTACAATAATAAGTTATTTTTAGTATTCCTTTTATTATTCTTTTATTTTTTTCAGGTTTATTCCATATGAGAGCTGTTGTAAATAGACGTGCTCATTTCTTTTTTTTCAATTCAATTTCTTCCTCTTCCCTCTTGACGGACTCTGTATTTTCATTAGTCTCAGTTCTTTCCTTTTTATCAAACAATAGTTGTCTCTGCTTATTGTATTCTTAAAGTCTGATAAAATTTTTTTCTCCTGTGGCATTTGTGAATATATTTTCCATCCAAAATCCATAAAACATGACTTTTTTTAACCAATAGAATTTTACGTGTAATTTTATTGGCTTTTTATTGGCTATAATAAGTTATGTGTTTGTTTCGCTAGACACTAATCATATGAAAAGAAGGCATTTTTAAATTGATATAAGTCGCAAATGAGCAATTATTTTTAAAAAAAGAGGCTGGCAATTTGTAATAAATTAACTTAGCTTTAAAATAGCGGCTTCCTTTTTTTAATATTATTTTTGTATCATTTTTTATAACTTTTTAAAAATTAACAAATTTATTGAAGTTTTTAAGTGTCGTGCACTGTATAGATTTAAAGAAGAATAAATTGTTTAATAAGTAGAGATAAGTTTTAAAGATAAAGTATTAATTTATTTAGAGAAATGTAGTGACTTTGCCATTTAGCAGATCAAAGATTAAAGTATTTATACAAAATAAAATAATAGTAAATAAAATATAATAAATATAATAAATATACTAAATGTAATAAATATAACTAATCTATCTAAACTAACAAATATAATATATATAACGAATATAATAAATATAGTAGATTAGTCAAATATAACCAATTTGTCATATTTGTCAGATTTGCCTAATTCGTCATATTGGTCTGATCAGCCAACCAATTCAAATCATATGATTGGTTATATTTGATAAGCGTAACACAGATCATGCCTTCAATGTGTAATATTGAAAATATAATAATTAATTGCTATATAATTTATAATATATAATGTGTTCTTTTACTTAAAAAATATACATATTATATTATCTTAATAGACCCAAGTAAGCTATCAATAAAAAGTAATTATTCAAACACCTCATCTACTATTTGTAATTTGCAAAAATCATACATTAACAATGACTAGCAAATCTGGGAAATATTACAGAAAAATATTTGATAATTTAATTAAATTTAGTGATAAATATAATATCGATTGATAATTGATATTTGTCTTAACAAATTTTGAAAAGGTTGTATTTAATGTAATTGATAAAAAATTTTAAGTAATTCAAAATAAAGTATGTTATTTTTTATTTATCTCAAAATATTTATTATAAAATATAAGCTTTTGATTTTATTATTTAATATAAAACTAATAAAAATTTTAGTTTGTTACTTAGACATATATCTCTAAATAAAATTCCTATAACATTTAATAAATTAAAAGCTAATATACCAGTAGAAGTAAATGATATCATAAAATGTTTTGAAATTTATTATATTTGTGGTAAAGTAAGATGTTGTAACAGAATAAATTTTGGCTAAAATTTACTTACAAATCTGATATCAATTAAATATCTTGGTTGATCATCTAGTAGATTACTTTTGTCAATTAAATGTTCTTGTTTATTATCTTACTAATCCTGATGTCAATTTTATGTCCTTTGATAATCAATGTAAAATATTGTGATCCAGATATCAATTTTATTTCCAGTGTAATGGATAACCTTATTTAAATGATTATCTTTGCTAATTGATTTTGTTAACTTTATTTCCTAAACGATGTCAATTTTTTTATAACTATATTTAATTTAGTTTATTTTTATAATTATCAAACATGTTAAGTCTTGATACCTTTGGATAAAGAACTTACTTTTATTATAATATTAAAAAAAAGTATATTTAACCAAGTAAAAACTTATCCTTCGTAATCCTATAATCTGTATATAAATTATTATTATTTATTAACCTTGCGTAGTATTATATTCATTCATTATATTGACTTAAGGTATAGTCACTGAAATGTAACCACTGAAATATCCAGAAGTTACTTGTATTTAATTGAAAATAATCTTTGACGTTTACTACTAATCTTTACTATGATTTTTTAAATTTAGTTTTAACATTTTGTAAATTTTATTTAAGTTACAAATCTGACATAATAATGTATAATAAAAAGTAAAAATGTTATTCGATCAGAACTATTATTTCTATTTTCATTTTGTTTATTACAGATAATATTGAATATGCATTTTCTCGAACCTAAAATTCTGTTGAAGCTTGGCATAGAAGATGAAAGACATTAGTAAGTTGGGTGTATTTAAAATTATTAAAGATATATAAAATGAGCAAAATCAAGTTCAACTTAATATAGAATCAATTTTGCAAGGAGTATTATAAACTCGATAAAGAAGAAAAGACTGTGAATATGAAATCGAATTCAAACAGTGTATAATAATCATAAAAATTAATCACTCATAAAATTTCTTCAAGGAATTACTTATAATCTTTTATTTTAGATAAAGTTTTATTTTTTTATTTATTTTATATACTTTAATAATATTTTACATTAAATAAAAATAAATAAATATATCTAATAATCAAATCAGCTAAAATTTAAATATTAATTTTTTTTTATATTAATAAAATATGACCCTCATCAGTAAAATGATCATTGGTAAATTATTTGTTAGTAAAATGAATGATTGTTGATTAAATAAACTGGACCAATATAATTGGTATATTACAAAATATTATTATTTTTTTTTATTAAATATTTTGGAGAAAATAAAAATATCTTTAATGTTATTTTGAATTCCATCTTCCAAATAAAAATGAAATTATTTTAATAAAGTAATGAGTATTCCTATTAGATGTGGTCTATAAGCCAATATAATTCACTCTTATATGTGTTTAAATTCCTGAAGTATAGGGAAAACTGGTATGATACAGTTCAGCTGATTAATATGGTATTATTATGCAGACCAGTACAATCATCAAAAATTATGATTGTACTGTATCTGGTTCTATAATATTAATAAGACCAGTATGATACGATATAATCATAAGTTATGAAAAAGTACTATATATCTATTATAGATCAGTTTCAAAATTTATGATTGTACTGTACTGTATTAGTTTTCCTTCCCTTCTCAAACTGTATATAAAGATTAATTATTTTTTAAAAGTTTTATAAATTTTTTTTTTATAATTATACTATTTAGTTTAGACTAACTTTTCATCTTAACTTAAATTTTCATCTTCTAAATTTAGATTATTACTAAAACCCTCCTATAAATATTTATTTATTAAAAAAATGATAAATTAAATTTATAAATTATTATTTATATAGCACTATTTGTTATATTATATTTAATATACACAACGCGATTTCGCGTTTTATTTAAAAAAAAATTTTTTTATTTTAATATTTTTATTTTTATTTTAATTGACAAAATTGATTTATACATACTGTCGAATCAAAAAATTCTTCAGAATTAGAATAGATGTATATTCAGACATTTGCGATATTGGTAAAATATATTTTATTAAAAAGTTTTATTTGCGTTGCGATATGATTAAAATTTAAAAGATTTTTTTTTTAGAAATGTGAGAATTTATCGATTTCGGTTGTCGATTACTTTTTTTTATTATTAAAGTAAGTTATTTTTTATAGTAGGATTACGCGATCATCGTTCTGATCAGCAAAATCGTACCGTACTGATCAGCCGAACCGTACCCTGTATTGGTTGGTGGTGAAATAGAGCTTAAAAAAAAAATAACATTCTAATTTAAAGCACTTTTTTCATTATCTGTTAAATAAATTTTTTTTTACTTTCGAATTCGAGTTAAACAATAATCGGGTCGGGTCGAAATAATAATCGGGTCGAGTCGAACTCTGGTCCCGAAATATTAACGGGTTCGAGTTCGAATTTGCTTCAATCCCGACCCGACCCGAGAACTAATTATGATTCTTTAGATACGTTATTGAACAATGAAAAATTTCTATCTACTACGAAAAGTTAATATATTTTATTTTACATTTCAAAAATTTTCAACGATTTTTCGTTAACGCAAAATTTTGTCAAACAAGAATAATGTAAGTTCTTTCACTATTGTGATTATAACCGAAATTTTACTAAAGCATTGTAGGATTTCAAGTATGTATTTAAAATATTAAAATTTCCAGATACGAGGAGAAATAATTGTAATTTTCTAGAACCACTCCTTTGTCTTCTTTTTTGTTTGCTTGTTCGCCTCCTCATTCTTCTACATAATTAATTATTAAATGAAATATTAAATTGCAATATAATGTGTAAGGTAACCTTTAGTACAAATAATTATTGTTATTCATAATAAATATAATAATCTCAACCTCTTTTGTCTCAGCCCATTGTTCTTCTAAGCCTTGAAAGAAATCAGGAACTTCGGAAGTCAAAGTAAAACTCTCTTTTGAGGTATTGTAATTATAACACAATCTGGTGAATAATAAACAAACATATCAGACGTATGATATATATATTTTCAGTGGTTATTTATATATACTCTTACCTGATAAATTGTAGTATTAATAAAATAGGAGAAAACAGTAATGTAAAAATTGTATTAATAAGGCAGCGCTTCATTTTTCTTGAAGATTTTTTGAAAAGTTTTGCGAAATAAGTATGACTTGTTTTGAAAAAATAAAATAAAAATAAAAAAAATAAACTCAATCATGTGATTCGTGAAATGAATATTTTGTGACTAGACTATAATAAAGAGCTATATGAGATTTTTGCTTAAAAACTCGATAACTTGAACATATCACTACTGCCGATTTATCAGGCGAGATTAAGTTTTCCATTCCTTAGAATAATCTTTTGACAGTCGAAAATGACACTAATCATTTCTATTATACAAAAAAATTAAATTTATTTTTTCATGTAAAGTTCCCATATTTTTAGCAATAACAATTATTTCTCAAGATAAACCAAAATTCTTACAAGAATTTGCTTACGAGTATTGGGATTATTTAATCTTTTTACAGCTAGGTAAAATATCCAGAAAACGTCAAGATGAAATATTTTGTTCTTGCGAGGATCCATTGAATTTTTGCAAATCATATGAAGGATTTTATCTTCTGTGCGATTACGCAATAATGCCATAGGGCCACAATTCGAACACGTTACGCTGGATTCACATTTTATGATCACAAAAACAGTTCAAATTTTGTTCACAACTTAAAAGATAAGTTGAGAATCCTTTTAGATAACTTATCCGCTTTTACAAAGTAAAGTAATCAAGATTAGATAAATTTATACCATATCGCTACTTCCAAAAAAAAGGCCTTTTAAACCCTGGGTTTCGGAAATAATCAGAAGATGAGTATACATTATTTTTATTGAATTCGGAGAAAGTAATATAGAAGCGATATAAATCATTTTTCCGTTTCATATTTTTATTTAGGCTTTTTATTACGACTTTTCGTCTCATTAACGCAGCAGCGTCACTTCTGTTTGAAATTTCCTCAAATTCCAACTTTTGTTTTTTGCTTGCTTTCCCTACTTGTCACGACAAATTACGCATACATTTACAGCATATAATTATTCAAGTTTTTTAGTGTGGAATCGTTTAAAGGTATTTTTACCGTCATAGCTCTAAAGGAAAAGGAATTCAGGATTCTATACTGAATGAGTTTGCAACATCCGGATAATGCACGTAATCTCTCACATTTCGGCACGAATTCTGAGGTTCAAAATCTTTCATATTTTGGCAAGTTTTGCACATTCATTATTTAGGTAGACGTGATGATAAAATTCAGTAATTCACAAAAATTCCACATAATTAAATGAATCGAATGAAATTTAACTTTATTAGATGTAAATAATGTAAATAATTGAGAAATATACCATCAAAATTTGCTATTGAATCAATAACGTCCGATAAAAAAAAATTTCTTAATTGTACATATTTCTGCAGTAATTCAACTTAATAAACAAGAAAAGATAATTTATTCAATTAGCTCGAATTTTAGAATCGAAATTCAATGTAAATAATATTTATGTAGTAATTTTAGCGTTGTATCGATCCTGATAAGACCAGTCTCAGTGAAATATGGGAGGCAGTCAATGAATTCCAAATTTTGGTCAAATTTTATATTATTGAACCACTTCACTCACTCGTGCATAAAATTACTTAATAACTAAAATTAACAAAATATAAAATTTTAGATTTCCCTTTTCTACTGACCACCTCCCATATATATGGGGCCTTTGCAATAGAAAGGGGGGAAACAGCCGGAAAAAATTAATTTTACTTTATATGCCAAATATGATTTTTATGCTGAAATATGTTCAAATTTAGCATTAACTCACTTTTGATTTTTCCGGCTGTTTCCCCCCTTTCTATTGCAAAGGCCCCATATATGATAATTATAAGTCGTCTAAGCAAAATAGAAGTATACTTTTCGATTTTACCATGCCATTCTAAAATGAGCTGCCACCGCGATGATAGTTAGCGATAATAATATTGAAATCAATTTTATATAAAATTAAACTTTGATTTATTTCAAGTTCGATCATAGGGATCTGGCCCAAAGAGATCTTTTAGGACCGAAACCTAGCAAAATGCAACGTCCCGCACCTACTGGATTTACTAAAAAAGCTTTTATTATTAATTACATTGTGCGCATTATGGTATATTATATAATGATTATAATACTAATATTTAACAAACACAAAAATTATTATTTTTTAATAAAATTGATAAATATTTAAATATAATTAAATTTATAACAATCTGAAAATTTTTAACCAATTTGGAATTTATATTATAAAAAGATGGTTATTTTTGATTTATTATTGAAGTATATACAACTCTATTAGCATATAATAAATTTTTAATTTATTTATAAGACGAATAATTGTTTTTTATTTTGTAATTATAATATTTTTTTGTATTCTAAAAATGGAATCTCTCAAACTGAATCATATAACCGTGAATTCCGGTATTTTTATTTAGAGATGACGAAATTAGCAGATTTCAAGATAGATGTATTGAGATAATTTCACATTAGCTGCTATTTCAACGGCTCATTTTATAAATATCAAAATGAAGAAAGATAATGGGCATAATTAATTTTTTTTTGCTCACAGAACAATCCTTTAAAAATAAATAATGTAGGTAATTTTTTTATTCTCCTTCTGCCTGAAGAGAGAGAACATCTCTAGAATATTTGAAACGGTCAGTTACCTCAAATAACAGGTTTTATTTACTCCATGAATATTTTATTGATAAAACATTCACAAATTTGATTATTTCAAAGCGGGCTGAGCTTAAATTATGAATAAGGATAGGTAAAAATAAATTTAATTAAACAAATAATATTTTCACGTGCCTTTAACTCGCCAAAATTGAAGGTTGATCGTCGCAGAAATTTATGAATTTATATAATTGCTTCCAATAAAGGTTACCGTGAGACAATAAGAGTAATAATTTAATTCTATTCTATATTTCGAAAAGAAAAAATCGATTCCGAATAGTATTACCTTTAAAAGGGATGTGGTATTAAATTTCCTTAAAACGTCAATTAATATCTATCTCATAATGATATCATGATTTTTTGTTGCGTTAAAATCAAAAAGTTTATCGAAAACACAAACCGGAAATCTTCAATTTGATTGAGAATTCTCAACAAGATTGTCGAGTGTCCATACGCTATGAAAACGATTGTAATTGACCAACCTTTTGGTAATACGGTTAGTTTAAGGTTATTTTAGTTATTTTGCACTTGTGGTTAGAATAGAAATTGCGTTTTCCCGGTCTGATCCGGTCTAATTATAATAAATAGTGTTGTTATTTCCCTCATTCGGATACTTATTTTATTTTATTTTTTTTAAAAAAAAAATTTTATCGTGTAATTTAAAGTAATGATGAAAGGATACACGTTTTACACTTCTGGCGCGCCACAACAGCCAGGAGAATCAAAATGGAAATATCGCATTCGAAAATTATTTACAATAAAAACTTTGGATAAAATCGAATTTGATCATGGTACTTCAGCACTCAACAGGACGCTTGGTGCATGGGACGTAATTATGCTTGGTATAGGAGGAATTATCGGCACGGGTATATTCGTATTAACAGGTAAAGTTAATGTTTTCCTTAATAAAAATAAATAAATGTATATATATTAATTGTTTAATTGTTTATAGGACAAGCAGCAGCATACAATGCAGGACCAGCAGTGATATTTTCATTCATCATTTCTGGAATAGCATCAGCCTTTGCAGCTTTATCATATTCGGAAATTGCTTCGATGATTCCGGTTGCCGGGTCCGCGTATACTTATACTTACGCAACAATGGGCGAGCTTTTGGCTTGGATCATAGGATGGGATCTCATTTTAGAGTATCTTTTTGGTAAGTAATAATATTGATGTTTAAAGCTTTATATACAAATAAATAACTATAATTTAACAAAAAAATCCTTATTAAACTAGGATCAGCATCCATAGCCTTAGGTAAGTTGTTTGCTTGCGTCAGTTATATATTCGTGTCGTCGTGAAATAACCATTGTTTTCATATCTCTTTAGGCTTCTCAGAGTACTTTGTGCATTTCTTTGAACACGCGTTTAAAATTCATATTCCTCCTGCTTGGACGGTCGCTCCACTAATTTATAATGAAACCACTAGTGCATTCGAAAAAGTACCTGGCTCATATTTTAATGTTCCGGCATTTGCTATAACAATATTTTTAACTATAATACTTATTATTGGCATAAGAGAATCTGCTAATTTCAATACATTGATTGTGGGAATCAAAGTTCTTATTCTCGTAATATTTGTTATAGCCGGTAGTACCAAGATTAACACGGCAAATTATAAACCTTTCGTACCACAAAATGAAGGAAAATTTACGGAATTTGGTTTTACGGGAATACTTTCCGGTGCAACTGTAGTGTTTTTTGCTTATATCGGATTTGATGCGGTTTCAACTACCGCTCAAGAAGTGAAAAATCCTCAAATAAATTTGCCTATTGGAATCATAGGAAGTCTCGCAATTTGCACTGTTTTATACATTGCTGTTTCGTGAGTGTTTGCATAAAGTCTATTTTTATTTTTATTTTATTTTTTTTCTTTAAAAAAAAAAAAAAAGAGGGATTCTATTCGGTAATTAAATAATTTAAACCTTCTTTTTGTTTATTAAGCACCGTTATGACTGGGATGGTTCCTTTTCGTGAGTTGGGTTCTCCAGCTCCAATATCTTCGGCTGCCGAGAAAAATAATATGCGATGGCTTGGGATAATCGTGGATTTGGGGGCCATGCTTGGATTAGTATCCGGAAATCTCGTGACACTTTTAGCACAAACACGTATTTTCTATTCGATGGCACAGTAAGTCTCGCTCAATAATAAATAATTAAATAAAATTGCTCTTTAATCAATAAAAAAATTTTTTTTATTTCCCTTACTAGCGACGGGTTACTTTTTACAAAGTCTTCCAAGATTCATCCTAGATTTAAAACGCCTTACATTATTACAGCAATAACCGGAATCTTTTGCGCAATAGCTTCAGCGTTACTTCCCATAGACATACTGACACAATTAACATCGGTTGGCACATTATTTGCATTTCTTTTGGTAAATGTTGGCGTGGTAATATTACGTATATATGCACCAGATGTTCCAAGAAAGTTCAAAGTACCGGGAGGCCCCTATCTTGTGCCTATCATAGGATCTGCATTTGACATATTATTATTAGCTTCGGCTCATAAAGCAGCAATTGAAAGATTATTTATTTGGATGGCGGTCGGATTATTGATTTACTTTGTATATGGAGTAAGGAATTCTAAGGTTAATAATAATGATAATGTTCGAGAGATTTCAAAACGAGAAACAAATGATCCAAACAACGATGGAGTCATTGAGATGATCAATGTTGTAGGTGATGATGATGGAAGTAAATTCATGTTATCGAAGTTATAGAAGTTATTTTTTATTTTATATATAATATGTAAACTAAATATATTTGCATAATCCGTCAAAATAAATAATGAACGTCTTAATGATAATAACGAATTAATTCATTAAAAATAATTATAAGTATCAGTTGTCAAATCAGTTTGATACAAAATAAGTTCTCTCGTTATAAATAACGTCAATATAATGAAAATTACTTTTTTTATTATAGACTCTATTACATAATTTTCGAATTTACAGTTTACAAGTAGTTATTTTTGATTGGGTTTCCTAATTCAATAAAATTCAGGAGATTTTCCCATGGTATACGTTCTATTGGATGCCCTGATATTTTTTTTTCTTCTTCATCTTATTATACGAGATTAAATTAGGTTTTCTTAATCTAAATTAATATTATATTAATTTGTGGAACATAATATTTTTTTCCCCATATTTTGTTGTACAGACCAAACCAAAAGGATTTTCTTGGATGGCCCATAAACCTGAATCGTTGACATTCTGAAAGAAATAATGAAAGTGATCAATACCACACTCTTGGAGCTTTTGATCATAGAAGTTTTGACTTTACCCTTAGCAAACGCGATGGATTAGTAATTTAACTCGCATTGTGAGTTAGTTTGAATGAACAAAAATTACACGTCTTTAATAATCTCGGCCAAGATTAAGCGTCAAGTATGTAGTTTGACCGAAATTATAAAATTTTCAAATGAATCTGTCGTTAGCCATTAAACGTCAATGTCGTTTTCCAAGGCTTAACGCGGCAAAAGTGAATTTATTAATTGCTTTTCGTTATTCAAATTGCTTATTTTAGTATATTAATTACGAAAAATTTTGAAAAAAAAACGTTTTATTTTTGTAAAATAAATAATGGTGATAATTAATGATGAGAAAATTTAATAATAATACAATGAATAATAATAAAAATATGTTAATTTGATGTGATGTTTCAACATCCTATTTCTTAATGATTTAAGAGATTCTAATCTTTCTCTTGGGTTTTTCACTATTTTTGGGTACCCTAATTTTCAATACACCGTTTTCTAAATTCGCATTGAAATCTACATCATTTCTAATATTGGTTGGTAATTGAATTGATCTGGAAAATGGACCATAACGACGTTCTTGTATATGAAGTTTTTCGTAAGTTCCTTGATTTCCATTAGTTTGCGGTGTTTGTTGAGATTTATTTAATCGATGGAATTCTTGATATTCGCCTCGTCGTTGATCGTTTTGTGAAGTTGGTTGTTGTTGTTGATGATATTGTTGTTGATTCGTTTGATATTCAGTTGGTTGTTGATTTGATTGATATTCGGTTGGTTGTTTATTTGATTGAAATTCGGTTGTCTGTTGATTTGATTGATGTTCGGTTGGTCTTTGCTGATGTGATTGTTGAGTTTGTTGGTATTGATCAGTTTGTTGTTGATTTGGTTGGAAATTGGGATCGGTTTTTTGTTGTTTAACATTTATCTCTTGTGGAGCAAAATCAACTGATTCGTGTTTATGGTTTCCAGAGATAACCAAAATTGAATCATGAAATTCGATATCGACATCTTCTTTATTGACACCCTAAAGAGAAAGTTTTTTTTATCAAGAAAACGGTAAAAATAAAAACAAATCCTAATAAAAAAAAAAAAGATCAAAAAAAAAACTCACCGGAAGGTCGGCGATGATCGTATACTCTCTCTCATTTTCTGTTACATCAATAGCTGGGACCCATTTACCATCACCACCACCGCTACCAACACTACGAAATTTTGTTTTAGCATCACCTAGGAAATCATCAATAAATCTCGTAATCTTATTTTCAAATCGATTATCCGAATCCCAATGCCTGTCTCTGTGTCCTGTCATTTTTTTTTGCGATTAATATTGAAATTATAGATTGTTTTTGTTTTCAAATTACTTTTGGATTGATTGGTAAAAAAAATTGAAAATTTTGGGTATTTATAAACATTTGTTTTACTGCGATATTTACCAAGACATTTCCTAGTTAATCGATAACGTCAACAATTTAGCCATAGCATAATTATAAGATCATAGGTTCGTCACTGGGATCGACATGGCGTCAAAATTTAATCCCTAATAGTCTAAGTGAAAAATCACCACAATTAAAATGACGCGTCTTTTCGAAAAGAATGATGTATAACAGATGAGCAATTCAATTTAAAGTACAATTATGATATGAAATACTTTTTATTTTTTTGATATTAATATTAAAATATAATATAATAATTTTGATTTTGGTATGTGTTATGAGATGATAAAATGATAATATCTAAAATATATACAGTTTTGCTTCTTTTTTTTCATTTTTTTTTTTTTTGATTTTTTTCATAAGATTGTCTAGGGTAACAACCGTTCTGGATCAAAAGTATTGTCGATGTTTTCGATCCATCTCATTATATCGCTTCGTTTTATCGTCACGTATTTATTTTGAGCTAAAAAAAGAAACGATTTATTTAATAAATTTCTTTTTTTAAAAAACAAAACATTCTCATAATTAATATGTTATATTACCTCTTCGTTCGAAATCTGCATTAAATTCAATGTCTACAATGATAATAAAGGAATGTTAATTTTTTTTTAGAGTGTATACTCATGCTTAATCAAAAAGTAAATCATTAAGGTTCATCATGTAATTTACCTTCATCACTTTCAACATTCTCATCGAAATTTGATTCGCTATCATGATCAAAATCTTCATCGCCCAAATCAGTGGTATTAATTCGTTGACTCTTATAAATATCGTATTTGCTTGAAGGATATTTCAACCGAATCAGATTTCCACGCCTATTAAACTGCGACATCTTGTCTTCCTTAAGTTCGCTTATCCAATTTCCAATAATATCAACCAATTGAGATGCGAGTGGCCTGCTATACTCATCATCATCCCAACATTTTTTCATTAACTCTTCAAAACACCTTGGCAAGTCCTTGGAATTATAGTCGGGTCTAAAACCATCGCAGATATCAAACATCAAATCATTCAATTTGTCAATTGAAACTTTGATAAAAGGTGGTAATCCGGTCGAGACCTCATACATCAACATTGCAAAAAAATAAATGTCGGAATACTTTGTGTAAATACGACCATGAAAAATCTCGGAAGGCGTATATTGTATCACACCGAATGTATCGATTCGTGAATTGCATAAATCATATGATTTATCAGCTGGACCCGACATCCCTAAATCCGATATGATTGCCGATAAATCTCCATTACCTTCATCTTTTTTTACAAAGATGTTACCAGAATGAAGATTATTATGGCTTAATCCCGATGAGTGGATTTCATGTAACCCGATGACAATTGAATGAAGCAATTCGAGTTTTTGCGACCATGAAAGTGAACAGAAATTATCATTTATGAAATTCCTCAAGTTTCCTCGTTCGATGAATTTCATTACCACCATGTAATCTTTTGTTATGGGATCTTGCGTCAACCCATATATCGGCATAATCTCTTTATGTTGATGATGAGAACAATGAAGTAACGAAACCTCGAGCTTAAAGTAAAGGATAAAAAGAGAGAAAAAAGCTGTTAGTAAATTACTGCGCCTTGATCTGAATGGCAAACGACTAGAAAGGGTGATTACCTCATACAAGAAATCTTTAGAAATGTTTTGAGAATTATATAATCTTTTTAATGCAACTTTGATTTCATTGCCACGGTTCCAATCTTCACTTGATCGATTCCAACTCATAATTGGGCCCTTTGTCCAAGTAGCGGAATATATCGTGCTGAAACTACTTTTGGAGATGTATTTGACTTGTCGTAAATCATCGTACGGTACCCACTCTATAAAGACTTGCCTATTAGATGTCTGGGTTGATTTTATCAATTTATCAATGTCATTATTCCCGCTAGTCCATCTATCAAAGTTCCTTTGAAAATGCGAAGAACTACATGAGGAGCAATAACCCTTTGATGAATTTGGTCTATTGCACTCCTCGCAAAGACCGAAATCATCATCTTTAAAGGACGTAGGTTGTGACCTGAGGCTTACGGATAAAGTTGTGGGTTGTGGTGTCCGCTTGTTTAGATTTAATGATATCGGAATAGATAGATACCTGGTTGGAGGATTTAAATGAAGTGATTTAAAAGTTATAGTGGTCGTTTCCGTTGTCATTTTGCAAAGCAAGATAAAAAAGAAACGAAAAAATGAAAAAATAAAATGAAGAAATTTGAAAATATTTTTTTTGTCGATATTTCCCGATATAAATTATGTGGTATATATAAAATTTTTTATCAAATTCAACGCCAAAAATAGGTGGTGTGTACCCTTAAATGCTTCACGAATTTCCCCCATAAAAAAGTAATTTTTGATCACGAGTAACCTCACCAAAAAAACAAATCAAAATTTTTGATCTCGATGTTCTCCTTTCATGTACCCTAAAGGGTCTTTACGATGGTCTTATCATATACTTAACATATAACACAAGGTCTACATCTGGTAATCAGAAGAGAAAAAAAAAAGGGTTTTTTTTTTGCAATACGCCGATTAAGAGACAATGAATGTTACAATGAAATGATGATTTATGATTTACGCCAGCCAATAAAGGTGATCGCCTATCAAAGCACCCAGAAAAACAACAGAAAAGAAACTAGGGGGAAAATCCACTACAAACGGGTCTATGTGCACATTTCACGATCATTTTTGAAATTTCGTGAATTTTTTTTTTTATATTGTTTTTCATTGAAAATCATATGGTAATAATGGTCACAAACAAATGAAATGTCATGTTTTGATCTTGTGCTCAAAATATAGCACAAATTTAGGGAGAGTCGTGTTAAGCCTGATTAGAATACATAATCTACTACCAAAAAAAAAAAATTTCTACCCCAATCTTTTTTTTAATATTGGCGTAAAAAAAAAGAGGCACGTGTCAAATATAAAGAAACTGCTAGGACCTTCTTTCTAGCATAATCCAAATTTTTTTGTTTGTTGGCCCATCAATATAGAGGAAAAAGGGTAAGAATAGGTAAAGATGAGATGTCCTTTGAAACATGTAAATACCTGTCCTGTCTATAACGCAGGCTGAAACGGAAGATCTTATTTTGTAAATCACGTGAAGTTCCAAAACCCTTTCTTTGCCCAATAAAAGATTATTGTAATAAAAAAAAAATATTCGGCAAAATTCATAACATAATGGCTTATTTCTTATTGCATAAGCAGGAGATTGAATTTTATTGCCGTTAAAAAATCACACCCTGAAAACATTACCTCTATAGAATCCCCTAAAAAAAGGATAAAAAACAAGTAAATTTTTTTTTTTAAAAAAGGTATCATTGGGTGAAAGAAATTTTTTTTTTTCAAATGATACAAATGATAACTTTAAATCGATAATACTTTAATTTGGTAAATTCATTTTATTTGCAGTAAATATTGCTGCATCAATAGGTACTATTTTATTCTTATTTTTATGAAGAGGCGTGTGTTACAAATAAATGTCGGAACTTCCATTACATAATTCTCTCAATTTTTTGTCAAATCCTTTGTATGTTAGAAGCTTTATGGTCTATTTGTGTATGTTGTTACCATAATCAATGAGAAAAGATCTCGTAAAAATTGAGAGGATTCGAAATGAAAAAGAATTCTATCGGGAACATAACATACATTAGTGTTCCTAAATAAGACTTATTTATTACTTGAATAATGATGAGACCTCCCTTTCGGCAAAAACCATGGCTATCACAAAGTCGAACTTTATAGGCGCAGCATACTCCGACTTACCATACTCATATTTCATATTTCACCAAGACGAAAGTGGATTTGGCCGATCATCCCCTGTGTCTGTGCATATATTGAAAATAAATAAAGAGAATAAACAAACTTACCAAACACCTGTCCTTGCATAAATTGGTATGTCTAAATTTGTTGTTAAATTTCCTTCTTTCTCCACGCCAAAAATTAAATTAATTGTTTGCAACATACGACATGAATAGAATTATTTTAGGTTTACAAGTTTACTTATTAATAATCAATTGAAATCACATGACCTTTCAGGTTCGTAAAAAAAAAGTTTTTTTGATTTAAATAAAATTTCCTGGATAATTACTTTGTTATGTGATAAAAGTAATGAGAATTTATGTGCATGGAAGTGGGAGTAGATAAATGTGGATGGGGCCTCAGTATTCAGTCAAGCATAAATATGCCACAAAGATTATTCTTTTCTTTAAATTACGCATGTTGCAAATTTGATACATATTTTAGGTTTCGGTATTACTAAAAAAAAATGAAAAGAAACATATTTCAAACATCCCACAGATGTGGAATACAGGATTAACGCGATATCCACATAATGTTGTTTTGATACGTGCTACAACATTCCGAGTAAGTAACTTGGTTCTAATTGGTAAAAGCTAATTTGCCGTGTAACGACCTTCGCATTAATAGTTAATTGACCATTGGGAATATGAATATAATTGATACAATTTAAGATTTTAATCCTAATGATGATTATAGACAAGGGCATCTTTTAAATTTGCTTTTTTAATTAGAAAAACAGTTTTTATGTAATACAAATATTATTAAAGAATTCTAATGTGAACTCATTTTACGAATTTGCTTGATCGCATAGTACAAACAGGATACTTGCGGATATAAGTTTTGTTTTTTTAGTAATAATCTTATATATAATTTTGTTCAACTTTGACGTAATTATTTAATAAAAACCGGTTTTAAACATTACAAATCATTTTATATAAAACCAATAACGTTCTTTGAGAACTTAAGGGGACCTTTCACATAATATAAACATGGTGTAACATTGGGGAAAAGCAAAGTAACAATAGTGACACGGCTCCGTTCTATGACAGATCAGAATTCTAATTTTTATATTTAAATCCACCTTTTTTGATTTAATCAAGTGAGTCTTAACTAGGTTATGTTGAAATTTGTTTGTTGTTTCGGTATTAGGTTATGGGAGTTTCATCATATCAAAGAACTAGATTTTAACTGGTTCCAAGAATTTCGGCCCTTACCCGCCGTCTTGTTAAAGTCCAAATGATAATTTATTAATTGTTGAACTTAAAGCTGCACAAATTTTACTTTATCTTCAAAGAGTTAAAGATTCTCGTTAAAGATGAATATACATTTATAAATTAATTAGATGGATTAGATGGAACACATATGGGAGCGTTTCCAGTAAAATCACATTACGGATCATATGATTTACTATATCTCATGACTTGCTTTTACTGGAAACGTTATATTTAGGAAAGGTAAAGGATATGTTTTTAAATCAAATACTCTTTAAAATTCTTAAGTAATACAAAAAAATTTAGATGCTTAATACCACGTGTTTCCATCATAATCCGCCGCATAAATATTTTATCGTTCTTTTTTCATAAGTTTTTATTACCATAGAAAATAAAGTAGAGAAACAAATATTTCTAACATTAATAAAAAGCGATAAAGGACATTTAATGTTTTCATTGTTCACATCTCATCACATGTTAATTATTGTCATATATTTCACACTTATGATTATTTCTAAATTAAAATTAAGATTAAAAACTGGCGTGCAGTAAATTTTATTGAGAATATAGATAAGATAAATAAAATAAAGAATGAAATTATAAAAAAAAATGCTACTGTTAAAATCTGACTTATATAATATGGTATAATATGGCTGGTCTATCAGACAGTCATAATTTTTATAGTTTAATCATGATCATCAATTATGATGTTTCTTCAAGACTGGATGAGGTTGAGGTTTGTTAAAAATTTTTTTTTGAATATCTAAATTATCATGTTTAGGGATAATGATTATCAACAATTTAATATATATATTACATAATTTTAATATTAAATATATGATTAATTTGGTGTAATTTGTGATTTTTAATGTTTGAGAAAGTTTAGGTTTAATTTGAGCTGAGCCAACTTTTGAGTCAAATGAGTTGAGTCAAGTTGAGTCAAGTTGAGTCAAGTTGAGTCATAAAAAATTTGACTCATTTAACTTGAGTTGAGTTTCAAGTTAAGCTTGACTCAGCTCGAGATAACTCAAGTTAAACTCGAGCCTAAAGTTGAGCAAAACTCGAGCACAAACTCGAGACCAAAGTCGAGCTGAAAAATTTAACAAATTTTTTTTAAAGAAAGTATAAAAAAATCATTTAGATAAAATAATATACATAGTTTTAAAAGAATAATAGAAGTTTCATTCTATAGAAATGATAAAAAAATTCATTTCGATAGAACTAAGGATGGTACTGCAATTGTTTTTTCAAATCTGCAATATTGCAGATTTTTGAATTGAATTATGCATAGTAATCCGCAATTCCGCAATTCAAATCATGTGATTTGTGATGTAATTTGTGAGTAATTCGTGCAAATACATATTCGCAAATAATTAGAGATCTAGTGATTGGATTTCGATGTAAATTTTACCATTCGATTCGACTCTATAAGGGGATTCGAATGGTATAAATTGCATCTTTCTAGCACCAATATTG